TTTTAGCAGTGTAAGGCAACAGGAAAGTTAAGACAGCTTCGCAATTTAATTGGTACATGGAAAATTGATAGGGATGCTGCTAAAGAAGTTGATGGTATTTTATCAAAGTTAGGAGTATATGATTCACTTTTCCAATTTGACAACTAATAGTTACAAACAAAGGAGTTTAATGAAGGAATTATTCAGTGGTATCGATGTATTTATACAACAAGTACGTGACATTTTGTTGTACATTCTTGGAATTTGAATAAACAAAATATTCAAGTTTCTTGTATTGGGCAATATGCTTGTGAAGCATTAATCATCATTCTGGAAGTAAAGAAATAAAAGCAAAAACGTGTATTACTGAAAAATTACATGCAGATGACATAACGAAAGGACCCAAATTTATAAGAAAAAACAAAAAATAATCTTAACAAAATTCCCAGTTTATTTAAGAAAAAGATGTCAAAAATATAGAAATTAAATTATTTTGCTCATTTAATAGGAATTTAGACGTGTGTTTAGACAAAAATTATGCAATATCAATTAGATATTAACTCAAAAATCTACTGTAAAAACTCTACAAACGATCCAAAAGTATTACAATGCATTTTCGGAATTTTTAAACTGTTTCTTTTCTGAAATGATTGATGAATTATGTCAGAAAAAATGATTATAAGTAATTTGCAGCAGAAAAAAATGCTAATAAGTTACCAAAATTGTAGTTCCTAAACAAACTATAAGAATTACAACATTCATTACATCAATATTAATAAGTTTGAACTTTTCTTATTTAAAAGTTTGGTCATTTCAAGTTTTAGCTAGCCTTAGTCATATGCCACAATTATTAGGTTATTTTTATAATTATTAACAGTTTATCATGTAACATTTCATATAAATCATCATGAACAAAAATTAGTAAAAATCTGAATAGCAATAATATTTAAAACTTAGCTATTATTGATAATATTGATTTTACAAAAAAAGGTTTCAAGTTTTGGAAATATTTATAATGTTACTTATAACAGTTTTTATGCAACTCTTTAAATGACTTTTCAAATACAATTATATTGAAATGAATATTAGTTCTATACTAATTATTAAATTAATTGCAAAAATTCCATTATTTAGGATAAATGAGAGTATTAATAAAACATTTAAAAATTTTTTAACAAATTATATATAAATTAAAAAAATTAATGAAAAACTTACTTACAAAACAAATTTTAATTTAGAAACTATTAAAAGCATAATACTTTATAAATTAAATCATCTTATTTTCTAGCATTATAATTTTAAATCAGAATTAAATTTAAATTTAGATAAATAAATTTTACATGTAGCTGAAATGTATAATGATTTTGCAATAAAAAGTTATATTTTTTTTGAAAATATAATAGATAAAGCAATATTTCACAGATTAATTAAATATTAAAAAAAATTGATCATATATAAAATTAAGATTGTCATACAAATCAAAGGTTTTGATAGGCATTAAAATTAAAACTTAAAACCTGTCAAAATGTTTTGCCAAATATTTTTTATTAAAGAAAAAATTTAAAAATTTTAATAAATAGCAAAAATTTTAACAGATAACAAAATCCATTAAAACTTTTTAATATTAAAATACAATTTATAAATTTAAAATTTATTTTTTTTATTTAATGAGATGAGTAAATTATAATAGCAAAAATTATTTTTTTTTATAATATTATATATTTATATATTTATAAAAAATAAAAAAATCAAAAAATTTACATATAATCAAGTCCAATTATATTATTTATCTTTCATATTTTCTTCATTTAAACTTATAAACTTTTATTTAAATAATTATAATTTAGAGATTGAAATCAAATTTAACATTTAAATTTAAACCTAATATAAAACTAAATTCTTATACATTTATTATAATTAGCATTAATATTTTTATAAGATTTTATAAAATATAAATTTAAAGTATAGAAATCATAATATAATCAATTGTAATTAATACAACTACACTAAATATATAATATATATAATTTATTAAACTTTAAAATAAATTTATTTAATCTGCACAGTTTTTAAAAATTCAAATTTAATTTTTAAAATTAAATAAATCTGATAAATCTAATTCTAACTTTTATTATCAACTTCTTCATAAGATATTTTTTTAATTTTCAACAAGTATTAATACTTTTAAATTTAAAATCTACTCAATAATAATGTATTATTTTAAAAAATTTGTTTTAATTTAAAATAAAAAGTAAAAAAAAATCATTTTATATTTTACATTATGATACAATAAAACTGTTAAATTACCAAATTTGCAAAAGTTATTATCAAAATTATCAAAATCTATCAAAATCTGTTAAAACTCATCAAAACTTATTAAAAATATCAAATACTATCAAAATCATTAAAACTATCAAAATAATTTCTAAAAAGTTTCTATTTTTGCTAAAATGGTTTTAAAGTTTTATTTTATAACTATATATAACTACTTTTAAGATAATAATATACATTAAAAACTTTTTATTCAGTATTATTTTCTAGTTATAAAATATTAAGTTTAACAATATGTTTAAGAATTTATTTCTTAAATAAGTTTAAATTTGCAGTTAATTATTTTTTAATAGCAATAATATTTTATATAAGTTACAATAAAAATAACCATAAATGTATATATTACTAAAAAAGAAATACTATTTTTTTGAGATAATAGATGATAATGAAAATATTTATATTTGTTATAAAGTATTAAATTACTTATTAAAATGTAATAGAAAAAACTTTTTATTATATTTAAATACTTTTTTAAATTAATAAATAATTTAATAACATTTACTTTTAATTTCATTTATAAATTTATATTAAAATATAGTATTTGTATTATAAGTGATTAAAATTTGAAAAATATACTAGATAGAAATACATATTAGTTATTTTAATTTACAGCAAAATTCTTTATTTACAACTAGACTCTTTATACAAATGCTGTAAAATTATGTCATTATAGTTGTTTATTTTAACTAAAAAAAAAATTATATTATTATAGTATTTTTAAATTTTCATGATATTAATAATAATTTTGCAAATGTATATTATATTTGTTTAGATTTAATAAAACTTGAAAAATTTTTAGAATAAAATTTATTAAGGAATTATAAATGAAAATATTATTGATGATTAAAATCTTAAGAATCAAATAAAGCATCTTATTGTAAAAGAGAAAGAATAGATTTTTAATAGTAATATTTTAATAATCAAGTAATTTTACATAATAAGTGAGCAATTGAATAATATTAAACATTCTTATGAAAACTCATTAAGATCTAATAGAAATATTTAAAATAGATAATCCATAATCTTACTAACTTTTCTAAAATATATATCTACAGAAATATATAAGAAAGAATTTAGTCATCTTGTTATATATTATTCAAATAGTTTAAAGAATTAAAAGAATATATAGACAAAAAGTTTTAAAAATAAAAAGTAAAAATACTAAAAGTAGAAAGCAAACTGAAATAATTAGAATAAAAGTGAAAGAAAATAATATTTAAAAAAAATTAAATATGAATCTATTACTAAATAAGTATAATAAAATCCAGATAGTAAATAATTTACAGATTTATCTATATAACTATACTACAATTTAAATATTAAACTACTAAAGAATGAGTTAAAATACTTTTAGTATTGAAGGTATAAAGATAATTATTAAATAATACTATTACTTCTATTCATAAAGATTTATCAAAAGTTTTTTATAAAAAAATTTATATATTAGTTATACTGTATATTTAATTTACAGAGATTTTATAGTAAAATAAACTAGATTTTTATTCATGGCCGACCAGCAGCTGGCCTTAATTTTTAATATTTGAAAGTAATATATATATTTTATTTAATATTTATAAGTATCTTTATTAAATTTGCTAGAATATGTATTGCATATGTATAGATTATAATATTTTATTAAATTGAAAGTAGTTGTGATGCTTTTTGTTTTAAATAAGAATATTTTTTAATTATATTTAAATCTACTATAAATGATTTTTATCTAAATTTATTATTTAAATATGTTGCTATTTTGAAAATCTGCTGATTGCTGTATATGCTTAACCAGGTGTAAATAGTTAGCTAAGATCTATTGAAATAGAATATAAGGTAAGATCCTGTATTTATGAACTGTTAACGAAAATGAGTTTTATAATAAAAACTGTATTTTAGATACATGTTAACCCCTAAATAAAAATAGAATATTTCTCTTATAATCCATCTTTGAATAATTGCACTATATATACAAAATTATATTTGTATACTTGGCTGTTATTTATTTATATCAGTGATTATACTGATAGTTTCATTACATATACCTTCTTTTATTAATGAATTATTTAGATACATAACTTGTGCACTC